CTGAGTGCGTAAAGTAGCCATCGGTTTGTGCGCCACTTTTATTTGGTGTTTTGTTTGTTACAACAAAGTAGAGAGTAAAGTTAGTATTTTGAAATTAATATTTTTGTGAACACTGAGATTGAGTGACGGTCTTCCTTTAAGATCACGGATAACTTGGAACAAAAAGATGACATCATTATCAGTTGGTATAGGCAAAGCGTAGGTTTGGTGTAAAAGTGCATTCCTAACCGGTTGAACGATATTTTTCACGTAAATTGACCAGTCTTATTGACACTCGTTGATGAACGTTCACTGACCGCTGATGGAACTCACTTGTGCTGCTGCACCTTAGTAGGCTCGGCAGCTAGTATTGCCGTTGCCTTTTCCGTCATTATAATCTCCTCGAGAAGTCCTCTCAAGGCCTAGGTTTTAGTTTAGTTCAATTTTCAGTTTAGTTTAGTTTTTGATTTATTCTTTTTTGTTTTATTAGTTTAAGTTATTTAGTTAATTTTACTCCTTTGCGCAGTTCCGCAATTTAAGTAGTTCTTGTTGCTTATTGGTTATATTTCCCATTTTAATTAACGCGCGCTTTTTGGTACCAAACATTGGGTTATTTTATAATTATTCCTTTTATTCTCTACTTTTAGACGCACTGCCTTTTTATTTATTCTTTCTCTCCTCTGATATGCCAACCCGTATAATCCTTATTACAACCGGTCCCATATTAGAGAATGCTGAAGTTTTCGATTACAATAGTGAACTCGAAACCATTGTTATCGCAAAAATCAAACTTGTGTCTCCGTTCTAAAATAATCGGCGTATGTCTCACTTTTAATTCAGGAGAGCTTCGATGTGATTCTGGAGCAAAACACACTGGACGGGGCAACGGAGGCCCTTCGTGAATACCTTGAGGCCTACTGGATGGCCGTCAACCCAATTGGAGATCTCTCCAAGGCGGAGAAGATCCTCGGTGTAGTTGCGGGCACTCACGGCAGGGCGCAAGGCGAGCATAAAATTTTCCTGCCGATGGTACCTGGACGCCCGGGATTAAACATTGTCACACAGGTAAGGCTTCCCCCTATGAGGGTTGTCCCCACGGTAAAGATGCCACCTTAACGGAACACAGGAAAAGGCACGCCGCACCCTCTTCAAAACGGTGGCCTTCGGATGAGTTTCATGAAAAGTAAATATTGCCAATACAAGCAAACATGCGAGTCCCAGGAGGTAATTGAGAAGAAGACGACTCGATCGCTGAGACAATACTTTTATTAACCTGACGTTTATGTGTTGTTGGCGTAGGATGACGCGGTGGTGACTTGCTTTGGACAAACTGAGTCTCAGCACCAAATATGGGCAAATCGTTGCACTTGATTGTGGATTGGGGGCCAGTGAACCATAACTCAAGTAATTCTCGGTTCACTCGAATGATGTTTCTCTGTCTCTTGGTATTGAGAATGCAGCTTCGATTACTTCGCATATTTACCTGTAAATGTAGGACTTTGAAAAACCGTTTTATTTCGCATTTTGACTGATGTTAAGGTACATTTAATGATAGAAGCGAACATGCGAGTCCCAGGAGGTAATTAAGAAGAAGACGACTCGATCGTTGAGACAATACTTTTATTTGCCTGAATTTTCGAGATCCGTCGTGGATTGGTCATCAGAGACATATTCAGAATAGTAGCAGGTAGGATAACGTATGCACAAGAGCAAATATTGAAATGTTTCAACCCTAAAATTAAAGTTAACTTAAACGAAGCCTTAACCGAAACCCACAGCTCACAGTTAGCACGAAGCCCAACGATAACTTTTAACATAATACTGGCCATAACCCGAACTCTGACCTTCATCCAAAACTTGAACCTAACTGTACATTTATCCTTTACATTCACCTTTATCCTGAACCTAATGTTCTTGGAATCAAAATAAATCTTGTGTTCCAAGTAGCAAATCATATGAAGAAGTAACTAACTATTAGGGGTTTTTATACTTCATTTCGGTAGAAAGAAATCAAACTCATTTGATTATTTGAAAGCCAAAATAAATCTACATGCCGTTTCATTAAAGCCTCCTGTTGAACTAAGTCCGTGCAGTTTGTTTCTGGGGGATATATACCGAGCTTGTCACAATATATGACAGTAGCAATATACGACGGTCTCCAGGTCAGCCCGAAGAACAAACGCAAGAATTCATGTTATTATTTCACTTTTCATCCCCACTGTATGTATGTGTTTTGCCGATCTAGCAAAGGAACAATTAGGTTCCGCTTTGCCGCTGCGCTGTACAGTGGTCGCCGTTGACCACGTAATT